AATCAAGAGAATAATGTGAGTGAGTATCAAAAGGATTTCTTAGTTTGGCATTAAAAATTCAAAATTACTTGGTCAATTTTGGTGACTCAAAATATCAAAAATCAGCATTAACTATCAGATTTGGATGTTGGTAGTATTACACGGTTTACCATATTTAATTTAATTATGACGGTTTGAAAAAACTATAACATCATTTAAAACTCGTCTACTTATAAAAGTAGTGTTTATATGACAATCTTTTAAATAATGTCGTATAAAATAACTAATACGATATTTTATTTTAAAATCATCCTAAAAATTTGTTAAGTTACTCAAAAGCGCCTCATATACATATTTTAAGATGCCCCTTTCGATCATTTTACGTTCTTATAAGCTAGTTTTTGTCAAACATGATATATTCATCAGCTACCTTATTAACCAGTTTCCCAAACATAACCTTAATATAAGATTTGATATTATCTATCAAAGAAGATGTATTAGTTATCATAAATTTCGTATAACGTTTTGGTGGATCTTGTCATTTATTTATTGTGTTCAGAGTAAATTACATTCTTGTCCTTATGTAGACGTGTTATAATTCTTTAAAATGAAACAATGACTGTGTGTGTGGGTAATAATGTTTGATCTAATACACATAATAGTAACTTGTATGTGTTTTATGGTAGTTTTATGGATTTAAAATAAGCTTATATTTATGGATTTAAAAATTGTGTGTGGAGTCCATTCAAGAGAGAACTGATTAGTTTGTGGTAACTGTGAAATCCAATCTCAACCACAAATCAACGGATAAATTAGGAAATTAATAATTATGGTAATTTGAGTTAAAATTATAATTAGATGACATTTTAGGTATTTTTAAAAAACTTCTCTCTTCTCTCTCATCTCTCCGGCCTCCAATCTCCGGCCTCCGGTGAACAAAAATCTGGCAGGTACCAAGTAATCACAAAGATACACAATGTGATACCTATTGTGATATATTGTGATACCATTTGAGTACCACTGTATATCACAATGGGTATCACATTGTTTATCTTTGTGATTACTTGGTACCTGTCGGATTTTTGTTCACCGGAGGCTGGAGATTGGAGGTCGGAGAGACGAGAGATGAAAGAGGAGAGAGAAGAGAGGAGTTTTTAAAAAATACCTAAAATGTTCTTTAATTATAATTTTAACTCAAACTACCATAATTATTAATTTCCTAATTTATCCGTTGATTTGTGATTGAGATTGGATCTCACAGTTACCACAAACTAATCAATTCTCATTTGATTAAGCCCCTATATATATATAT